GCTCCGGCATTTCGTCGTAAATTACTAAGCTCCGGCATTTCGTCGTAAATTACTAAGCTCCGGCATTTCGTCGTAAATTAAAAATCATAGCAACTGAATAATGGACAGTTTGGGCGTCCAATAAAAATGTATCATAAAAATAAATCGAGACTGCGAGTGTCGAGAAGGATCCTAAAAAGGATCGTGGCCGTTGGCTACAAAATTCCAGCCTAAAATATAGAAATCTCAGTAAAAAAAAGCAATCTGAAGTGGACTGAAAATAAATCAACCATACTGGTAAGGTAGTTTATCGTATTTTAAATAAGGTAAGGTTCCAAACAGTAAAAGTGCACAAAGATATCCTAAAATGGCTCAAAATTTGTCAGGCAATTCTGCCACAAAAACCAATGAACTGATAAACTCTTCAACAGACGAGACGAACGTTAGGATCGGCAGCCAGGCAATGCAACATTGGTCAAAGCAACTAGAAAAGTTGTCAGCTACATAAATGGAAAATCGCATATTTCACAATGAGCAGATGTTTTAAGTAAAATTCAAAGAAAAATTAGTAAAAAACAAATAGCTAAGTGCTAAATGAGAATATATCACAGATACGAAAAGAATAACTGGAAATGTACTCAAACTGGAAGGTACCGGGGCAGAAGAAGGACGAATGGGAGGGGGAAACTGGCGCAGATTACGTCTTTTCCTTCGCGATTATCCATTATCAGTCAGAGATCAGCCCAATCCTCCATCCGACTATCTTCACTAGTTTTGCTATAATCATCCCTCGTAATGGAATCACAAATGTGGAGGAGATTTTGATGGTGAAATTACTTGCTTAGGCCTGCTCTGTAGACCCAACTACTGCCGGCTGCAACCGTAAAACACCGTACCGTTCAAGTACTGCGTTAAAAAACATCGGAAGCTGTAAACCTCAAGTTTCTCAAGCCGAAGAAAAAACAAATTTCCTATAAAAAGACAAATCAATTTTGCCTTCTCCCATGCTTTTTCGCCCAGTAAATACATCTGCAGTGAAAAGCAGCTAATGAATTCGAATTCTCAAACATTTCAGAGAGAAAAAAAAATGGTCGGGCTCATGGAATCTCTCTTAAACTGGTTCAGCAGCTCACTCCCTAACTGTGGCAGACACATGAGGTCTACATACAGTGAAAAGATACGTACATGTACGGTGAAGCTTTACAAAAAAAAGCGCTTAATTTTAACTCCGTGAATGAAAATTATTAAGAAGAAATCCAGGGCTACCTGGGACTGGAAGTGACTGCATGGGAAGGCAGCAATTGCGAGTCCTCTGTCTTTGTAAAGATCATGCACCTCTTTGAGCTTATTATAATTCGTACTTATTAGGCCACGCTCTGATGGAATGTTTACAATGATAAGCGGTTTCCCTCTGCAAAACCATACTTTTTTTATTTCTGGCTAGTTCTTGATCAAAAAAAAAAAAAGAAAAATACAAATCTTCTAGATAATTACAATCACTGATAAATAGAAAGTGGCTCTTTTTAATATGACCAAGCAGATACCAAAAAAAAGGAGAAAAAAAAAAAGAAAAATTGCAAAGATTCAAGAGATGAAGTTAATCCAGCTCATAGAGGATGGAGAAATCAGCCCAAAAAAAAGCAAAAAACAGCCAAAAAATCATAACAAACAATTCTTTAAAGCAAGCAGATGGTACCAAAAATGTAATACTAAGATAAGCTAAATTTAAGCAAATTAGGAGCAAAAAGAGGATAGACTTTAAAATTAGTCTCTTGCAAAAGGACAAGAATGACCCCTCCTCCCCACCCCCCAAACAAAAACATTGCACATACATTTTGAAAACGCCGTGGATATTAACTGAAGATATGCAATTTAAGATCGGAAGAACCAGCAGAGCTGTATCCGATGTGTGGAGACATCTCAACTTTGTATTACAACTATACCTAATCCATTTCTTTGCAAGTGACT